GAAAACAACTTACTTTTATTATTTAATCCACTCAGGTTGTGGCAACTTGCTGCAGTCTGCAGCCGTCTTTTAAAACAGGCACTAGAGTCTGGGTTTGGCATTCGGGGTTAGCTCTACCCTAGGAAGGGGACCCAGCTGTGTGGTAGTAAGTCTTACTCAGGGAACAGCATCTTCCCAGACACAGGGAGGGCAATTCCCTGTTTGTCCATATACTTCCCTGGGCAGAAGCACAGCCTCTCCATATACTGCCCAAAGCTCTATAGGAACATGACCCATAGGAACCCTTTCAGGAAACAGAAATGCTTATTTTTATTTTATTTTTAATGACTACAAAAATGATCCAGGACATTTATGATTTCATTTAGAATTAAAATATATATTGGAGACTCTGTGTAGTATGTGTCTATTATTCCAAACCTGCTTTGCTATTTACATCTGTGTGAACCAGCTGTGAGCTGACATTTGATGTATGGACTGAGTCAATCCCTTTCTCTGAGTTCACACATGAAGCCTTGACTCTGAGTGAGACAGAATTAGGACCTCAGGGATGCAGGAAGCTTAAATGAGGTCATGAGGATGGAGTGCCCAGGAAGGGATCACAGCTTTTGTGAGGAGGGACACCACAGAGTTGGTTCTTTGTCCCAGCCATGTGAAGACACAAAGAGAAAACCTCTATGTGTGGTCCTGAAGGGAGCCCTCACCCAGATCTCAATTCTTGCACATCTTTTTCTAGAACACTGTTTTCTCAACCTTCCTAATGCTGCACCCCTTAATACAATTCCTCATGTTGTGGTGAGCCCCAACCATGAAATTATTTTTCTTGCTACTTCATACCTGTAGTTTTGCTACTGTTATGATTTGTAATGTAAATACTTTTTGAGTTGGAGGTTTACCAGGGGGCACAACCCACAGGCTGGGAGCTGCAGTCTAAAGCCTCCAGAGCCATGAGGAAATGAACGCTCGTTGTTTAAGTCACGTAAGGTATAACATTTTGTTTTGGCTGAATAGAACAACCACCATCTGTAAATGAACGAATTTACATATGCAATTGAGTGACAGGGCTATCAGTCATCCTCTGGGTAAGGACTTTATTCTCTAGAAACTAAATGTTTCAAGTTTGCATGATTACATTTGAGTGAAGTAGTTATGGGGCCCAAAGCGGTTCCTTTATTAACCAATGATATTCACAGCATGCAGAAGTGAATCTCACACCACTTTTCTACATTCAATAACAAATACAATCAGTTCATTTCACAAGTCATGGCACGTGATTTCTCCTGTGGCTGACTACCTGCTGGAGTTAAGGGCAGGGTATCCCAGGATATTTCCCTGCCCAGCTTCCCTGGTGCCTATTTTCACCTCTAATATCTCCGGATGTTACTGCTGCTGCCAGCTCTGACAGCAAGCTCTCCTGGCCTGCTGCCCTCGGGAAATCAGCTCATCTGGTCTGACATGCTCCACCATGTGCAAGTTGCCCACTAGTGGACCTGGGGGTGGGAGGAAGGATGGATCCAGCTTGCTTCTCTGTCTAGCACCCCTAAGATATCCTCTGATCTTTGGTATCCCTTTGGTAGACAAAACTCCTACCTGCACAGCTTCAAGAATCTTGGAAACCATCTCGACTCCTTTGATATTTTAGGGTTACCTCAAAGAGAAGGGCTGACATTTTAAGTTCTGTCTTCCTTTATGTCTGAAAGTATTTCCAGGTCCCATATGACCCACTTGGTGTGTGCACGTGTATATCCACGTGTGTATATGTGCACAAGAAAGACACGGCCAACGTTGGCCATCCGCCTCAGTCACTCTCACCCTCAGTCTTTCTCACTATCCTTCCTCTATCTCACTAGGAGTCAAGGCTTCAAGTGTGAATGTGGAGAAATGGGCTGATTCAGTCCACCGTCAATGAGACATAATATCTCATTGGCTGGGAGGCCACAGTCAATGAGACATGGTCTCTCATTGGCCGGGAGTCCAGAGTCAATGAGACATGGTATCTCATTGGCCAGGAGTCAACCAATTCAGGTAGGCCAGTCATCTAGCCAGCCCCAGGGATCCTCCTGTCTGACTCCCCAGCCCTGGGTCATGTGATCACATGACTTTTCTCCTGAGCTCTGCAAACTGATCTTGGAACTACATGTTTACACAGAAGGAATTTTACCGACTGAGCCACCTCCCAGCCCCATGGTTTAGAGGTTTATACCCTTGGTTTTGCTCTCCCAGAAGCCACATCCACAGCATCAGAAGTACACTTATGATCCATCCACACAGACAATGAGAGCCCTCACCTTGAGACTGGGGCAGAATTCTTTATTGAATCTGTGAGTCGAGTCTCTCTTCTCAGAGTTTTCTGCTGTCCTTCCTTGATCACGAAAGGCTTTGTGTCAGTGCTGTCTCCTGCTCATCAGAATCCTGGGACAACGGTCCCAGTGTGTCATTCCTTAGGGGCAAGGATGACTTAGCTCACACCACCTGCTCGTGTAGCATGCAGGAGACTGCTCTTCCCTAACGCCTTTTCCAGGTCCATAGATAAACCAAACCACCTCCTTTTCCCACACAGAAAACTTCCTTCCATCCACGTGGAGTTAGCGATTTTAGAATTTACTAATAACAGCAATTTTTCTTTTTTATTTACCATATGAAGTTGATAGGACCCCTATCTTATGGCTTTTCTCTCTAGTTTATGATAATGTTCCTCTTTTGCATGATAATGGCATAAGCCTCATTTTCCCTTCTGTTAGGTCTTGATTATTCCCCCACAGGCTGATATTGAAAATAAAAGCACTTAACACTTTATGTTAGCATTACACTTTATGTGATTGCGTGCATAGGAGGGAAAATAAGCCCACAGACACTATTAATATTATCACGCACATATTACGTCTAATGCAACTCATCCAGCTAGCATCCCCCTTTAGGGCTGTCTGACGCTAAAGCTGGACCTTGGCTTTTAAGAGGTAAAATAAATAAAAGGATGAACAATTCAGCTTATCGCTGTTAGGGCAGGACTAAATTCTAAGAGTCATTTGCATTGGATAAAAAATGTAACAGCCTAAGAATTAAACCTACTGCATAAGAGTCAACTCTAAATGTCAATTTTCTTGATATTTTTGTCTTCATCTCTTTGTCAATGACATAGAATAACTACATGTTTATGGGGCACAAAATGTTTTGATTCTTGTGTACACTACATACAATTTTAAATATTCATTTTCGTTTTGATATTATAATGTAATTACATCATTTTACCCTACCCTTTTCCCCCCTAAACCCTCCCGTGTACCCCTACCCCTTGCTCTCATTCAAATTCGTAGCCTCTTTTTTCTTTAACTTTTCTTCCACAAACACTCAGACACAAGCATGCATGTTCACATGTCTTAATACATAAACACAACCTGTTCAGTCTGTATAGTGGTACTTACATATCTATGTTTTCAAGGCTGACCATTTGGCATTGGATAAGCAAGCGGTGTGCTCTTCCCCGAGGACGACTATTTCCCCCAGCTCTGCATTCCCTAGTTCCCTGCAGTTCTGTGCATAGGACTGAGAGCCCATGAGACCCTTCCACATCAGCTTGTCTACTGGCGCCATCCTTGTTCGGGTCATGTTTATTCTGCCATGTTGATGGGACTTTTGACATTCCTAGGAGACAACCTCACAGCAAACTGCCTGCTGCTCTGGCTCTTAACAATCTTTCCACTCCTCTTTCCACAGTGCTCCACAAGTCTTAGATGCAGGAGTTATAATGTAGATGTTAAAAGTAAGTCAACCAAAGCTGAGCAAATACCAACAAATCTCAAAAAGATCTTATTCTCACGTTTATTACAGCACTGTTTATAGCCGGGAGATGAAACCACCTAGTACCCACTAAAGGAGAATGGATAAACAGTGTAGTACTTGTATATGCAATGGAAAGCTACTGACTATAAGAAAGGATGACACCCTGTCATTTGTGACAACACAGACAGACTGCAGGACATCACATTGTTATTGTTTTATAACATGCCAGAAAGCAGGTGCCTGCTGCAGATATTATCTAAATTCCAAAGAGGGTACACTTGCACAACACCCCCCCCAGGCTATCAGTTTAAAACAGAAGGGTCACAGGAAGTGGTGGTGAATGGGACTCACTGGCTTCTGGCAGCTTCTAGGAGGAAGCTGGAGGAGAAGGTACAGGAAAACCTCGACTGCCAGCCTGAGTTGTTAGTGGGGACCAAGCATCATCGCCTTAGGACTGAGTCCTAGTTACCCAGCTTCAGCATGTGCTGAGCCACCAGCTGGCCCCTCCCCTGCCTCTCTGTGTCGCTGCATCCTCCACATCCTTAAAAAGTACTCCTGCATCAGCTTCCGCTGGAACTGTATCCAGGATTGCCAAGGGCCAGGTAGGAAATGGAAGAAGACAAGACCATCTGAAGGGAAGGAGAGGACAGGCCCCTCCCCCAGCTGTCAGTCCCAACCAATGCCTCTTAAATTGTCTCTACATTCAACCACACCTCAGACCCACCCTTCTGTTTTCTGTCCTGGAAGAGTTTTAATTGGCTCATGTCCTAATTAGTTATGGCTTTGAATAGCACAAGAAAAGTTATCATACGGTAAAGTAACTCATTGACTAGCAGAACAGAACTAATAGAGGGAAGAACGAGGTGGAAGCAGGGCTTGAGCCCTAGTGACCATGGAAATCCAACTGCACAAAAGCCCTGGGACTTGAATAGCTCTGGGAGACCTCTGCAAAGAGTGGTTAAGTAAGCGAAAGGGGGGAGGGGATGCCACTGAGGAGCTGCTGAGGAGCTACCTCACCAAGCCAAGAGTACAGGGTGAATCCTCAGTCCATTACAAAGGAGTCCAGCCAGTCCTGCCGGGAGGTATTTTGTAAATCCAACAGACTATTAACACTTCTGGAGACCACAGGCTGGCTTGAAAGCACTAAAAAGACTTAGGTAACTTCCAAGGTCAGTCAAAAACCACCACTCTTAGACAACAGCTTTTAATAGACAAACACCCACCTTTTCTTTCTGCTCTTTATGGCTTAGCGGTAAAGGAGGCTGTCACGGTAGTCCTTCCCCTGAGGAGTTCTCTCTGCCTCTTTATGACTCTGGAAAGGAAAAACAAACAGGAGCACCTGTAAACGTTTTCCTGGCCTTTCTGAAAGAATAAAGTTAGAGAGTTTTAAATGATGAAAATGCCCTACTTACAAGAAATCTCATTTTCAGGAGGACCAACTATAGAACGATTAATAAAAAAAAGAACGATTAATAACAGCAGGCTTTATGTCTAAACGGGCGAGCAGGAGAAAGGTGTGGGTGACATGCTTGCCCTTGTTCGTAGTGCTATATTGAGGGAAAAGGGGTAGGCATATTCAAAAGACGGGGTCCGAGGAAAACATGAAGCCCTTTTGCTTGCTTGTTTCCTTGTTTAATGGGAGTTTTTATTCACAGCCTCCCACAGAAACATTTTTCCTTTCTGATCCCATTAACAGAAACCTATGCCAGGAAGGAAGAGGTCAAAGGGCAATTAGATCTATGACGTCACACCTTACGCAATGTGGAGGCCGGACGCACAAAACACTTCAGAGGCCCAGTTTCCTACCTCCTGTCTGAGAGTCGCTCTGTGGGCTCCAAGAGAATAAATACAGCTAAGCTATGGAGCCTGGGACAATCTCAGATCAGGAGACAGAGACTGGGAGCTATGATCTCACAAGTCTTCTGGCAGGCAACAGTCTGAGGCTGCCCGCAGCAGACCTGACCAAAGTGTCTCCCTCCCTCCCACCTCCAGGAAAGGGCTGCTTGATTCGCCGCAGTAGGCAAAACTGAGCAGCTTGACCTGCATAACCAGTGTGAAGTGTTTCCTGCATTCATAGCAACATGGTCTCACGCATCTGAGAGAACACTCACAGGAACACCGCCAACAATGAACTTCTCAAGTGTGATTTCAAGAGGCTTGCAGGGACAGCTCAATGGTTAAGAGCACCTGCTGCTCTTGCAGAGGACCCGGGTTCCCTCCCAGCGCCCATATGGTATTCACAACCTGCTGTAACTCAAGTCCTAGGGTGCCCATAGCCCACTTCTAGCCTCTGTGGGCACCAGGCAGGCATATGGTGCCCATACATGCAGGCAAGCAGGCAGGCAAAACATTCATACTAATAAAATAAATTTATCTTTCAAATAAAGTACGGTTTCAAGAGCAGTACAAGGCAAATGGCTGACGAAAGCCAATCAATCCTGTCAAAATTCCACGCAGCGCCTAATGTCGCTCGTGTTGCAGAAGTGAAGACTCCCGTTGCAGTCTATACGGCATAGACTTTTGCACGGGAAAGAACTAAAGGAGCCAGACTCATTTTACAGGGTCTATTTCTCACAGGAGAAGGAACTTCCTTGTAGGTGTCATGGATGCAGGCATTTTGGGAATCTGCGCGGCCAGCTCAGAAAGCTGTGTCACTCAGAACTGACAACATCACATCTTTCCTACTGCACATCTCTCAAGGTACCATATACTGCCTCACATCACCATGGTAGCCATTATCCCTGCCGGGCCATCATTTCAGAGAAGGGACCAGTAAGAGAATAAGAAAAATTGGTCTTTTAAAACGGGCTTCTCCACACCCAGACCTGGTATTCATATTCTCAACTTCTCGAAAGTCAGGCGATTCTAAGAAAAAAAATAATTTCCTTTTAAAAGGGAATGCTCCATGGTTTATTAAGATCATGGAATTTAAAACCCAGGCCTCACTTTGCCTTATGAGTGTTATCTAATATTTAACAAGTAACAGATAGTTTCAGGGCCGTGTGTGTGTGTGTGTATACATGGATACAAAAAGCCAATCAATACCCAGTCTTCTTCGACTGCTGTCCACCTTATCTTTTGAGACAGGGTTTCTCAGGATAGGTTAGGCTGACTGACTAGCTACCCCCTGAATCTTCTCGCCTCTTCTTTCCCATCACTGAGGCTCCAAACATGTGACACCACACCAGTGTTCACTTAGGTGCTTGGTATCTGAGTGTAAATCATCACTCACAATGAACTCGGGTCCTCATGTTTATGCAGCAATTACTTTATTAGCTGAGTTATCATCTCAGGCCCTGGGCCTCAGTTTTGTTTTCTATAAAATAACAGTCTTTGTATAATGGCATTGTATACTCGCAATATCATGGTTGTACATCAATTTTTTGTCTTCCTCTCCTTTCCGGTACATAGAAGACCACCTCATACCCCTGCTGATAATTGCACCTTCTGTCTGGTTCTGAACACTGAAAGAAGAACTAGTATTTGGTGTGCTGCTTCTAGGTTTAGACAATGGGAAGCCACATACGGTGCTCTGTCCTTCCTATGGTCTTGCCTAGGGTTGAGAAATGCAGTCATGATAAGTTTGAAGCAGCTTCCAGTCATCTCATCTAGTCTGCGGAGGACAGACATGGGAACCGTGGGACCACAGCCCGGCATATCCTGAGACTGTAATTAAAGTGTTTGGGTGAAATGAAATGCCATGATCTAAGATGTCCTTGACATGAGCCTCTGTCAGCAAAAACAAAAACAAATAAGTAGACAAAGTTCTTGTGCAGCCACCAACATAAATGTTATCCCTTTTATGGTCATTATGCAGTGTCCAAATATGGAATAAAGATCATAATCCAAAGGTGCCAACCTTGTTGCCCATTAGATCTCTCAATAAACATGGGCTGAGTATCCACCATGGGCTGGACATAGTATAAGGAGTTGATGGCCTGACGATATACGAGATGCTGCCGTAACTCATCCAGCCCCAACATCCAGGTGATCAGAGGGCTGAGATGCACTGTCTGGGAGGGTCCAGGTATAATTCTTCATAGGACTAGGTTCTAGTGACTTGGAAAGAAGTGAAATACCATAGCAAGGAGGTAAAGTAGCATAGCACCCACCAGAAACTACCACGGCCTCTTCTCTGTCCACAGGACTCACTGGACAATGACGATGAGGGCATCCTCGTCTGCTGATGAGAGCATCCAGAGCTCAGTGCACTGGGTGACAGGATGTAGAGGCACAGGGACACTAGATCCTACCAAAGGCATTTTAGCAAGCTGATGGCTGCTCAGCTTTGACACCTTCCCTCGCATCCTGTAGCACTTGCTAGCTATGAAATAATACAACAGGAACTACTTATATGTCTACCTACTTTATGAAATATGTATACTTATATGCATTAATCATGTGTTAAAACTTTTATATTAATGTGCTATTCAGCCATTATAATTTGTGTTCTATAAACTGGGATTGGCTTGGCAAGAAGAAAATGTTAAGTATGTCTCGACAAAAAAAGAAAGGAATCTATTGTATATGATCCCATATATGTAAATCTCCCAATTTTAAATGATCCTTTTCTTCTCCTTCATTCCTGAAACTAACTTTTCCTAAATAGGAAAGTCCCTAAAAGCTCTTCAGAATTGAGTGACTAGAATGTTCTTGACTGAGTATCAAACTGCAGCTGACACATTCCTGGTGAGAGGACTTGGTTCCTAGAGACAGCCATCTTCTCGTTTATTGGGTGAAACGATTGCATCTGGAAAATGTATACACCTGAACTCAAAACTCAGAATCAGTCCCCGGCTGCATCCGGAGATCTCTGTTAACTGCAGCAGATTCCAAGAGAATGGAGCAGTGAGGCACCGCCCTGTTTCTCAACACTTCATCTGCCACCTTTGTGTCTAACCTTACTATCTTGGCTTTAGAAGTTTGGCTGAGAAGTTCCAAGTCTTGCATGGCTTGCAGGCTGTCAGTCTCGCTAGCCAGACTCGAGGAAGCCTAACACCAATGTCGAATAAGTCTACACTTTAAAAAAAAAAAAAAAAAAAGGTAAGAACTATGAAACTTCTGGGAAATATCTTCAATATTTCAGAAAGTAAACTCAAAGGTTTAAGATACAAGCTTTGGATGTTTTCCTCCCTTGTTATCCTAATGCTGGGCAGTGTTTGAACAACTCAAGTTGTCTCTGAGACACAGCAGAGAAGTCCTCATCTCTGACATCTCCTCTCCTGTGGGCTTCTCCCAAAGGTCTAGCCACTGCTCCTGCGATTGGTTTTGGCTATCTGAAAACCCGCCGATGTCTTTGCTAACCTTTAGCTTGACTCCCCCTCCAACAAGATCTTGGCAAATCTTCAAGATCCCTCAGGATACTCAGCGAAACCATTGTGGTCGCCTCCCTAAACCCATCCTCCTCTACACACATATTACATTATCCTATTCCTCGGAGCCTGGGTTTTGTCTAATGATAACAGATGGGAGTTAGTGGTATAATAGGCCAGATTACATCAAGTTTTTAAAATGCCTCAGTGCAGTTAGGAAGATGTCTATGATTCGACCCTCTGGACCAGTGCAGCAGGCAGACCTGGGGAACTCTGTGGCAAGGATCCTTCCATCCCTGCAGATACTGACTAACAGCAATGCAGCTGTATTGGGAAGGTAATGACAATGAGAGGACCCTTCAAAATGGAAAACATTGATAAAAAGATTCTACAATGTGTACTCAAGACATTTTTTTTAAATATATGAAAAGATCATTTAAAATATTGAGAAGAAAGCATAGGCAGGAAGAGACGACCCCTGCAGTCACTCACTCACCCAGATCTTTAAAACATTGCCTTGAACGCCCAAAGCAAGCAGCAAACACCTTTCAAGCCAAGATGCCGAAGAGGCAGAGTGAATGAGAGCAATGACTGTGGGCTATTTATGATCTCCGAATGCCCTCTGCACCTACAACACTGCTCCGAAGGACCCCATGCCTTGGACAAACATTTTCTGAAAAGCGCTTGAGAAAACCTGCACATAGTAACACAAACCTGTTATCCCAGCACTCAGGGAGCTGAGATAGGAGGATTGTAAGTTCAAAGCCAGCCTGGGCTGTATGGTGAAACCCTGTCTCAAGAGCCACAGCATCTAAAAAAAGAAAAGGACCAGAGAGTGAAATATTTCAGGGACTGTGTGCCATGTAAGGTCTACTGCATATTCTTCTCAGGTGTATTGTGCAGCCCTGCAAGAAAAGTCGTCCTTTGGGTGCCCTTGGCTGGCAACATCTATCCTGCAGGCTGCCTCTGCCACATCCCTGCCTGAGGCAAGCACACTGGC